AAAAATTCCTGGAGCCCAGACAGATCTGAATACCAGTAGGACAGTATGACAGGCCTATATGCCATTGAGGTATTCAGGGCATCTGCACATGCATATTGTGCCCATGAACAGTGCCAGCATGACTCCTGTGCTTAAGCAGCACACTTCCAGGTATCTACACCCTCTGGCATCCTGTCCCTCAAGGCACACTTCCAAGCACACACTAGCACTTGCAAACATGTGCTTACAACCTTCCTCCCCTAGCTACAGCTGAAACACCAACATTCATTCTCGAACTGGTGGACCTATCTCATCTTCCTGAAGAATACTCCAGACACCAGAGACAGACTGACCTAGTTTGAAGTACAGACTCCAGAAACAAACAGGATCCAACATTCTGCTGAATCCAATAAACACACCTCTGCAACAAAGATAAACACTACTTCAGAGTAAAGGGCGGGAAAAATGTTTTTCAAGAAGACAAGCTGGAATAGCTATCCTAATATCTAAGAAAACAGACTTTCAACCAAAATTAATCAAAAAAGATGTGGGGAGGCACATCATTCTCATCAAAAGAAAAATCCACCAGGACATTACAATCCTGAACATCTATGCCCCAAATAATAGAGCACCTGCATTTGTATATGAAACATTATTAATGCTCAAATCATGAATTGATCCCAACACCTTAACAGTGGAAGACTTCAACACTCCACTCTCACCAAGGGACAGATCATCTAGACAGAAGCTAAATAGGGAAATAATGACACTTACACAAGTCCTAAATAAAATGGACTTAATAGATGTCTACAGAACTTTTCACCAAATCTCAAAAGAGTATATATTCTTTTCTGCACCTCACAGAACCTTCTCAAAACGTGACCATATAGTTGAGCACCAAGCAAGCCTCAACAGATACAAGAATGAAATAATCCCTTGTATCCTACCATGTCCTAAAAGTAGACCTTAACAACAACAGAAATAACAAAAAGTCTACATACACATGCACACTAAACAACTCTCTATAACAGTTTGGTCAGGGACGAATTGAAAAAGAAACTTTTTAGAAAAGAGACTTTCTAAAATTTAATGAAATTGAAGGCAAAACTTACCCAAACTTATGGAACACAACGAAAGCAGTGCTAAGAGAAAAGTTCACAGCACTAAGTGCCTTCAGAAAGAAGTTTGAGACGTCTTGTAGAAGCAACTTAATGACACACCTAAAAGCCCTAGAAAAAAAGAAGCAGACACCTCCAAGAGCTGTAGACAATTGGAAATAATCGAAATCAGAGCTGAAATTAATGAATGAGAAACAAAGAAAATAATTCTAAGAATCAATGAAACCAAGAGCTGGTTCTTTGAGAAAATCAACTAGATAGGCAAACCCTTAGCCAAACTAACTAAAAGGCAGAGTGAAACTATCCAAATCAGCAAAATCAGACAGGAAAAGAAAGACACAACAATAGACACTGAGGAAATCCAAACAATCATTAAGTCTTACCACAAAAGCCTATATGCCACAAAATTTGAAAATCTAAATGAAATGGACAATTTTCTTGATAGGTTCCATTTACCAAAATTAAATAAAGATCAGGAAAACAGATTAAATACTCCTATATACCCTGAGGAAATAGAATCAGTCATCAAAATTCTCCCTTCCAAAAAAGACCCAAGGCCAGATGGTTTCAGTGCAGAATTCTACCAGACTGTCAAAGAAGAGCTGATTCCAATTTTCTTCAAATTATTCTATAAAATAAAAACAGAAGGAACATTAGCAAACTCATTATTTAGGGCTACAGTCACCTTGACACCCAAACAACACAAAGACCAAACAAAAAATGAGAACTTCAGACCTATCTCTGTTGTGAACATTGATGCAAAAATATTCAAGAAAATAATTGCAAACCAAATTCAAGAACACATAAAAGATAGCATCCATTGTGATAAAGTAGGCTTCATCCCAGGCATGCAGAGTGGTTCAGCATATGGAAATCCATCAATGTAACCCACTATTTAAACAAACTGAAAAAGAAAAACCACATGATCATCTCTTTAGATACCAAAAAAGCATTTTACAAAATCCAACACCCATTCATGTTTAAAGTCTTGGAAAGATCAGGGATACAAAGTACATATTAAAACATAGTAAAGATAATATATAGCAAGCTTACAACCAACATCAAACTAAACAGAGAGAAACTTAAATCAATCCCACTGAAATCAAGGACAAGGAAAGGCTGCCCACTCTCTCCATATCTCTTCAACGTAGTCCCTGAAGTAATAGCTACAGCAATAAAACAACTAAAGGAGATCAAGGGGATACAAAAGGAAAGGAAGAAGTCAAAGCATCACTATTCTCAGATGATATGATAGTATACACGAGTGAACCAAAAATTTCACCAGAGAACTTCTTCAGCTGAAAAACACCTTCAGCAAAGTGGCTGGATACAAAATTAACTCAAAAAAAAAAAAATCAGTAGCCCTTCTGTATATGAAAGACAAAACAGCTTTGAAAGAAATTAGGGAAACAACACCCTTCACAATAGCTACTAATAACATAAAGTACCTTGGTGTGCCTCTAACAAAGCAAGAGAAAGAAATGTTTGAAAAAACAAACAAACAAACTTCAAGTCTCTGAAGAAAGAAATAGAATAAGATATCAGAAAATGGAAAGCTCTCCCATGCTCATGGATTGGTAGGATTAACATATTGAATATGTCCATCCTGCCAAAAGCAATCTACAAAATCAATGCAATTCCCATCAAAATACCAAAACAATCCTTTGCAGACCTTGAAAGCACAATTCTGAATTTCATATAGAAAAAAACAAAAACAAAAACAAAACAAAACAACAAAACCCAGAATTGCTAAAACAATCTGTACAGCAACAGATCATCTGGAGGTATCTCCATCCTTGATCGCAAGTTGTACTACAGAGCAATAATAATTAAAATTGCATGGTACTGGCTTGGAAATAGAATGTTAGATAAATGGAATCGAATAGAAGACCCAGAAATAAACCTACATACCTAAGGAAACTTGATTTTTGACAAAGAAGCCAAATACATACAATGCAAAAAAAGACAGCATCATCATAAAATTGTGCTGTATTACCTGAATGTCTACATGTAGAAGAATGCAAATAGATCCATATTTATTATCCTGCACAAAACTAAAGGTTAAGTGGATCAAGGACCTCAACAAAAAAACAGACACACTAAATCTGGTAGGAAAAAAAAAATTGTGGAAGAGCCTTGAACTCATTGACACAGGAGATGACTTCCTGAACAGAACACCAACAACACTACCTCTAAGATCAACAATCAATAAATGGGATCGCATGTAACTGAAAAGCTTCTGTAAAGCAAAGGACACTGTCATCAGAACAAAACGACAGCCAACAGACTGGAAAAGGATCTTCACCAACCCTATACCTGAGAGAGGGCAAATATCCGGAATATATAAAGAACGCAAAAATTTAAAAAGTAATAAATTAATTAATCCAATTAATTTAAACAGAGAATTCTAAGTAGATGAATATTGAATGCAGAGAAACACTTAAAGAAAGGCTTAAAGTCCTTAGGCATCGGAGAAATGCAAATAAAAATGACCCTGAGATTTAACTTTATACCCATCAGAATGGCAAAGATCAAAGACTCAAGTGACAGTGACAGTACATGCTGGAGAGGATTTGGAGAAAGGGGAACCCTCCTCCATTGCTGGAGGGAATGTAAATTTGTACAACCACTTTGGAACTCAATCTGGTGCTTTCTTAAGACAATTAGGATCAAGATCCAACTATTCCACTCCAAAATATGCTCAAGTACACAACAAGGACATTTGCTCAACCATGTTTGTAGCAGCTTTATTCATAATATCAAGAACCTGGAAACAACTCAGATGCCTCTCAACGGAGGAATGGATACAGCAATTGTGGTACATTTACAGAGTGGAATACTACTCAGCAATTAAAAACAAGGACATCATGAAATTTGCAGGCAAATGGATGGATCTAGAAAAGATCATCCCGAGTGAGGTATCCCAGAAGCAGAAAGACACACAAGGTATATACTCATTTATAAGTGGATGTTAGATATATAATATAGGATAAACATACTAAAACCTGTACACCCAAAGAAGCTAAGCAAGAAGGAGGACCCTAGGTACTATGATCAATTCTCATTCAGAAAGGCAAACAGGAAGGAAATCAGAAGAGGGAGGAAACAGGAAATAGGACAGGAGCCTACCACAGAGGGTCTCTGAAAGACTCTGCCCAGCAAGGTATCAAAGCAGATGTGGAGATTCATAGCCAAACTCTGGGCAGAGTATGAGGATTCTTATGAAAGAAGGGGGAGATAGAAAAACCTAGAGGGTACAGGAACTCCACAGGAGGACAACATAACCAAAAAATCTGGGTAAAGGGTCTTTTCTGAGACTGCTACTCCAACCATGGACTATGCATGGATATAACCTAGAACCCCTGCTTAGATGTAGTGCATGGCAGCTCAGTATCCACGTGGGTTCCCTAATGAGGGGAACAGGGATTCTCTGACCTGAGCTCAGTGGCTGGCTCTTTGATGACCTCCCCCTGAGGGAGGGTACAGGCATACTAGGCCACAGAGGAAGACAATGCAGCCAGTCCTGATGAGACCTGATGGGCTAGGGTTAGAGGGAAGGGGAGAAGGACCTCTTCTTCAGTGGACTTGGAGAGAGGCATGGGAATATTTGAGGGAGGGAGAGAGGGTAGAATTGAGAGAGAATGATGGAGGTCCTATAGCTGGGATACAAAGTGAATAACCTGTAATTAATAAAAAATAAATTGATTTTTAGAAAGCAATAAAATATGTAAAGAATGTGAGAAAATATATTTTTCTCTTCTGTTGGAGGTGTAAAGGTGAAGGGTTGCTACAAGGGAAAGTGAAGGTAAGTAGGATGGGGGTGTATAAAGTGAAATTTACAAAAAACAATAAAAGTTATTTTTGTTTGTTTGTGCTTTGTTTTTCTTTGAAGAGTGCTTACTGTACCACTGGCAATGAACAAAGTAACACCTTGTTGGTGTTGCTGTTCTTATGTCATTCAGGGTCAGAGCAAACTGCAGTACTTCATTCATCCTAGTTTGATATCTGGCATGGTGGCCAAAGCTGTCATCTGCCTAGGACTCATAAAAATCAAATCAAGTCAAATCAAATTCAAACAGTACAACATGTGAAGAAGAAAACAGACCTTTTGGCTATCATATATTTATCACTCTGCACTAAACTCAAGGCCAAGTAGATCAAAGACCTAAACATAAAACTAAAAACACTAAATCATTTAGAAGAGAAAGTGACAATCTTCCTTGAACTCATTGTCACAGGAGACATCTTCCTGAAACAGAACACCAACATCTCAGGTTCTAACATCAAAAACTAATCAATGGGACCTCGTGAAACTGAAAAGCTTCTGTAAAGCAAAGGACACTATCAACAGAACAAAACTGCAGCCTACAGAGTGAGAAAAGATCTTCACCAACCTTACATCTGACAAAGGGCTAATATATAAAACATATAAAGAACTCAAGAAACACCAGCAAACCAAATAATCCAATTGAAAAATGGGATACAGAGCTAAACAAAGAATTCTCAACAGAAGAATCTCTTTTAAGAAGCACTTAAAAGAAATACTCAACATTCTTAATCATAAAGGAAATGCTAAACAAAATGACCTGGAGATTTCATCTTACACCCATGAGAATGGCTAAAATCAAGAACTCAAGTGACAGCACATGCTGGTAAGAATGTGGACAAAAGGGAACACTCCTCCATTGCAGATGGTAGTGCAAACTTTGGAAATCAAGCTGGTGCTTTCTCAGAAATTTGGAAATAGCTCAACCTCAAGGCCCCATTATATCAGTCCTGGGCATATACCCAAAAGATGCTCACCATAAAACAAGGACATTTGCTTAACTATGCTCATAGGAGCTTTATTCATAATAGGCAGAAACTAGGAACAACCCAGATGTCCCTCAACTGAAGAAAGCATAAGGAAACATTGCTACATCCCTACAATGGAAGACTATTCACAAAGGAAAACAAGGAAGAAATTTGCAGGCAAGTGGATGGAACTAGAAAAGATCGTCCTGAGTAAGGTAGCCCAGAGCTAGAAAGACTCACTGTATGTACTCAGTTATAAGTGCTATTAGCCTTATATAGTACAGGATAACCATACTGCAATTCACAGATCCGAAGAAGCTAAGCAACAAGGAGGCCCAAGAAAGGATGTTTGAATCTTACTCAGAAGGGAAAATAGAATAGATAGTGGAAGTGGTTGAAGAGAGGGAACAGGACAGAAGAGGTTGTGTTAAGGTAAATGAGGTGGGGATCAGATGTGGGGAGAGTGGGAGTGGGAGGACAGAGGGCTTGCAGAGAGAACAGAACCATGGGTGGGAGCCCATCTGAGACAAGCTGCAGATGAAAATTGTGTGGGCTCCTGGGGACTATAAGGGTAACACTTGCTAAGAACCCCTAGAGGCTGGTGTCATGGAGACTGAAGAGGCCACCATCTAACCAGACAGAACGTCTGTGTAGGGAAAGGAACACTAACCCACCCACAAAAACTTTTATCCAAATTTGCCCTGCCTCCTGTATGTTCAGGCATAAAGATAGAGTAGAGAATGAGGAAATAGCTAACCAATGTGTGGCCCAACCCATACCAAAGGAGAGAGCCAACCCCTGACACTATTAACAATACTCTCCTATGTTTGCAGATGGGAGCCTAGCATGGCTATCCTCGGAGGGGCCCTATCCAGCAATGGATCAAGACTCATAGCCAAACATTAGGAGGAACTGAGGGAGTCTTGCAGAAGAGCAGGGGTGGGGGTGCTGAAGAATAGAAGGACTAAGAGGGGAAAGGAGCTCCACAAAAAGACCAACAAAGCCAACTAACTTTGGCCCAGGAGGGCTTGTGGATACTGAAGCACCAACCAAGGACCATAAATGGACTGGACCTAAGCTCTCTACACATATGTAAGGGAGGCGCAGCTTGGTCTTTATGTGAAGAGCATGAATGGGAGCAGGGGCTGACTGTAACAAGGACTCTAGCGTATGCTTTTTGATCACTTCCCCCTGTTGGGGCTGCCTTGCCCTGCCAGTGAGGAAATGAATACGCTCAGTCCTGATGTTACTTGATGTGCAGGAGTGGATTGTTGTTGGGGATCCCCTTTTCTGAGGGGGAGGGCAGGGGTTGGTAGGCAGAAGACAAAGGCAGGGTTGGACTGGGAGGAAAGGAAAGAGGGGACTATGAATAGGATGTAAATTGAATAAATAAATAAATAAATTAAAAAAAAACAAGAAAGGGGAAGAATTCTGGTGACTATCTGAGGCAAGTGAGAAAGAAGTGTTTCTCTAAGGATCCTTTAGAGGAATTACAGACCTGCTGAATATGCAATTTCTAATGTTTAAACAATCAAAATTTCAGTAGAATTTATATCTTCAGTGTTCATCTAATGGAGAATCATATCAGCCCTAGGGGATTAATATAAATCCTAATCAAAATCTTGCAATTGTTTTTAAACTCGGCAAGCTGATCCTTAGGTTCATATTTCATGGATAAGACCCAATTACAGTTAAAACACAAACCTTCAAGACTCCTTCAAGTCCTTTCAGATCTTGTGGATCTCTAGTGTCTCTATGCAAACTGTAGAAATAGGGACCCGTATATGTATTATTAATATTAACACTATCTGGATCCTTAGCTAAATAGATGAGCTGAAGTTGTAGAATTTTATAATAAAGATATATCTTTATTATATATGTGTGTGTATGTGTGTGTGTGTATTTACCTTGGCAGGCAATGTTCATAGCGAAGTTCATAGAAGAACAAATTCATGTATCAGGATTCACAAAAAGTAAACGTACTTCTCCTAAAAACAAGAGTTTTGTTATGTTTTCTTTTTAAGAAAAAAGTCATAGTGGTAACTTACGTATTTCATAAAAAATATGGATGTAGAATTGCAAAATCTAAAATGTTAATATACAGACATAAATATTTTAAAAATTGACAATCTACTTAAATAAATACCCCATCAAATAAAATCTGAAGATTCCTAATAGAAAATAATAATATGGAGAGATGTTCGATATCACTAGCTGTAGAGATGAGAATTGTAGGTGATATAATTCAAGCCTTCACGTTATCTCAGCTCTGGGGATGCTGAGGCAAATGTATAATGCATCAGAAGTTAATTTACTCTTCATAGCAATTTCCAGACTAGTTTGGCTTTACAACAAGGTCCTATTACATAAACAAAGCAAAATAAAACACAAATAAGTAGGTAAATAAAAACAAATGGTAAGCTTTATTTTAAAATATATAGATGAGATAGCTTTGAATACTTTCATCATAAAATGGTAAACATTTGAGGGCACAGATATATTAATTGCCCTGATTCAATTCTATCATTTAAAAAATGTGTATATATTCAGCATATTACATATTGTGGTGGTTTGAATAAAAGTGGCTCTCATAGGACCATAGGGAGCAGCCCTATTAAGAGGTTTGGCCTTGCTGGGGGTGTGTCCCCGTTCCCTGTCAATCAGGATGTAAAATCCTTAGCTTGGTTGCCTGCTAGCCTCTTTGCTTCCTACCATGATGGTAATGGACTAAACCTTTCCTTTATAAGAGTTGCCATGGCCATGATGTCTGTTCACTAAAACAAGGTACCAGTAGTTCAATTTTATATACAATTTTTATTTTTCAGTTAATAAAAATTCAAGATCTATAATATCACTAAACTAATGAAACAATAATAACAAGAGAAAGGTGGTTTCTAATTTTATGTTGTCAGGGTGGGTGAGGTCATATGAGAATATGGAAAGCAAAATAGGTACAGGGAATCTTTCAGTGTGTAGTGTATTTGTCATTTTATTTTTGGCAATGCCTTTGGAGGTATACATATATGGCAAAAGTTACACTAACTAGAATTTAACTTGGGTTTGATAAGTTTAATGAATTTAAATTATGCTTCAGTAACACTGTTAAAAGTGAGAGTAATAGTGACAACCTAAGAGAATTGCTTACTGAGAATTGCTTCACGTTCAATTTGTTCCTTGTGATAAAAACACTCCTTAAGATACCTGAGGCTGCATTGCTTTTGTTAGTGGTGCTGGAAAAAGAACAGGACTGACACATTCTTAGGACTCAACTGCATCTTTTTATTCTGATCAGACACCTAAAGAATTTGCCATTCAGCAGGTGTTTATCAAGCACCTTCACTCACCCCTCTCCTCACAGTAGTCATATACAGAATTGTATGAATCTGAAGAATTATATGGTTCAATGTATCGATCTACTCTTTCTCCAGCACCCTTTTTGATTTTGCAACATGATGTTTGCAACTATCTGCTGTTATTTTCTAAACCAGCAACTATATCTCAGTCTTAACTAAGAACAGAGCCTAATAAAAATCCACAAACTCATTTTTGCACAAATAGCTTTTTGTAAAAGTGTTTTGTAAAAACGTGTCTTGAAAAACATGTCTTCACTCCTTCCAAAGTTTTACTTTAAATCTGTAAATTAGTGTCTTTAGGGTTCAATAGCTCATCATTTCCAGAGTCATGGGACCTTGAGGGTTGATTGAATCCATAAATATTACCCTGTAAAAATATGAAGTTACTGGGAAGAAAACTAGGTTGAGCATTATTGGGATCCAGTTTTATCTTTTCACTATTTACTACATATTATTTCATTCAAGAGATATTTATCAAATATTTTCCTGGGCCAGTATGGTGTCACACTCTAAGATAATGTTGAATAAGTGTTGACATAATAATTTCTATTCGTGATAGTGTATATAAACATTAACTGCATTCACAGAAAATGGTACTAAACATATAGTATTTCTGTGGGTTTTAAAATTAGAGCTGGGAAAGTACACGAAAAAGATGTATTCTTTGTTATGAATGGCTGAAACACAGATACTTGTCTTAACTCTGACAGGGAAAGGTCTCCTTCATTGGTTCAAACTGATCTGAGATATTGAAAATGAGTGAGGTTAGCCAGGGAAAGATGGGATACAAACAGAGTTTAACAGAGTTTAGGTAAACAGTCAGATGGGGCTTGATCCAGCAATCAATGAAAAGAACAGTGTACACAGAACACACATACTTTCCAAGACTACACCTATACC